GATGTGTAAATCGATTTGATGTTTTTTATTAATATTATACTTGGTAAAAAGCCTTTAATAAGAGTTTTGACTTGGATTTGATTTTCTATATAATTGATTCCAAATAAATGATTTGGGAAGTGATTATATTGGAAATAATAATAAGTTTTCCTTTTTCGATATATTCTCTGAAAATCTCAAAAAGATCTAAAAGTTTTGATTATTTATTGTATAATATTGTTAAAGTAGATACAGTAATAATAAGGTTTCTGGCTTCTAAGATTACTTCTTTAATTGTAATTAGATTGATATTGGTTTGTAGATATTTATTTTGATTGTTTAAAGTATTAAAGAAACCACGTTTTCTATTTAAAAGGAATGGACAGTGAGAGTTGGCAGAAAATTCTGCATTTGATAATTATGTTGCAAATGGATTATCGAAAGGATTGAAGTCACTTGCTCTGAAAGCTGTTTTGAAGGGTTGAGTAGTTTCTGAGATAGGGCTGGATATATCCATCTGAGTTTGAAACAGCGAAGGCAATTGATTAGTTTGAGTGGATATACCCAGAGTAATCGTTGGATATGTGTTTGGGATTATAATAATATCAGACAACACTTTTATAATAGATTCATTCATTTCGAATATATAGATTATTTGTTAGAATTAAAGGAAGTTATATATAAAGAATTATAGATCTATTACTAAGTTGTAGTAGACCTTGGTATATATATATATTTTAGGGCGCCGACAACAGTATCACAACAACTGCTGGTCAGAATCGTTTGGAGGCAATTGCAATAGATTTATTTTAATCTTTTTGGTCTAGATCGACCTTTAAAGAGGTGTATTTCGAAGAAAAAGTTTCCTGATTTTTGTTGTGTGCCGTCAACACCGTTCAAAAGAGAGGAAATGAAGCCAGAGTAATTTACACAAATAATATGGATAGAACTGTGGTGAATAGCATGACCAAAAAGAAAGACATCTAACTGGCGGGAGAGGAATGCGCGGAGGCCTCAGTTGGAGCCTTGATGACGGAAACTTCGGCGGCGGGAGTGCCGGGCGAGAGAATTTCTGTCGAAGGAACTTCGGTAGAGAGGGCTTCAGTTGCTGGATCATCGACAACCATTTCAGAAGATTGGACATCGGTTGCTGCTTGGGGCGGCTCAGATTCCGGCTCAGATTCCCTGTTATTGTCGATCTCATTATCCGCGTGTTGCTCGCTCTTGACAGCAGGGTTCTCTGCTTCGGCGATCTTGCCAGCCTTAACGTCAGCTTCGTTATTTTGAGTTGCACTGCCTTCCGCAGATTCATCGTTCTTGTCGCCATCAACTTCTCCGGATTGAACGTCCTTCATGGCCTCATCTTCTTCCACCGCTTCACTCTTCACAAAGTAGCAAGCTTCACATCTTCATCTTTCTCATATGTCTCCAACGCCCGAGCAATCTCAGATCTCAGATGACGTTCCCACTTAGGCATGACTTCACCGCTTATTTGAGCACCATTTAGAACTTGCAGATAATCTCTGCGCATGAGCATAAAGACCTCATCGATTTTGTTGTTCATACTTTCTTCAACTGTTTGGCACATCTTGTTGAGTCTGGTTTTGACTTCATCGCAACTCTCCGTAAACATGGCGTGTCGCGATTGGTCGATATGGTTGTGCATATGGTCTTTCATACGCTTGAATTGACCCGCACCTAAATTAGGAATGTTAGACACGGACGACGGGAGGGACTGAGAACACATTAGACATACCAACTTCCTTTGCACACCAATCATAAGCAGAAGCGAGCTTCTGGGCTACAACTGGAACGAACTCTCTATTTGCCTCACGCTGAAGGCTGTTAATAGCCTCAACCATTTCCGTCGTGAGAATTGAGAAAGTCGCTTCATAGGTTCGGAGTTGCTGGGATAACATAGCTAAGCCAGCAATTCCTGCACCGTTCTTACGGCTTCGAGCCTCGACTTCTCGATGAAATGTTTGCAGAATTCCGTTTGACTTCTTAGTGAATCCTTGAAGCACGGATGGAAGTCTCCTGGAGAAGCTTTTTTCCCAATTACTCGCCAAGTGTTTCATAATCGGATCAGTCAATTGGGAATTCCAATCGTGGGCACCTTAATTTATTAGCATAGAGCTAGTAGAGAAATGGGACGTGAGTCTCACCGTTCTTGTTTGTATAAGGACCACCGTCTCTGCGGCAGATAGCTAAAGTTGTTAGCATAGCTCAATTAAGCCAACGACTGTATGTTGACAATACCTTTATATGTAGCCCAGTACAGGCCTCCTGCGTCACGATCGAATTTATTCACAGAAGCTCCCCACTTTGACACCATTTGGGGTGCCTGTTCCACAGCTAAAGGGATAACCTCACCAAATTTCTCGAAAAGGTTTTCCTTTAAAGCATCCTTCATGTCAGCAATACAATCTCCTACCGCTTTGTCGAGCTTGTCTTCGAGATCCTTCAAATTTTTTTGAAGCCATCGAGCCTCGGTAACCTTTTGTGAATCCGAGAGATTGATACCTGTTCCATCATTATTTGCCCACAAAGATAAGGACAGGACAATTTGCAGAAGAGAATTAAGGAAGCGGCGACAGTTGGCACTTCGACCAGCCTCGGTGAGTCTTTTGCAATGGGCTTTGAGTTGCGGAATCTATAGTATCATTGCATTAGCAATAGCCTTTCCTAACAGAATCCAACCATACAACGTACCTCTGTTTCTTCAACGTCGCGAAAACCTGGAATCTTGGCATCCTTCTGTAGTCTTCCGTTCAGCTGCTGGTAGGCTCTGCTACTCACACAGAATACAGGCAGACTCTGCGCTACGGCATCGTAATCTCTGATCTCATTTTCGGGGTCGAAGTTTTCTTCATCTTCCTCCTCGGCATTGATATTATCAAGCTCCTTGATACCAGCAGCAAAATCCTGCTGAATTGCACCCTTTGAATATTTGTTACGACCGTCAATGCACTTGGCGCGCATCCTCGTGTCGATTTCTCGTTTTTGCTCGTCGAATTCTCTCAACTCCTTTCTGACTTCTTTTAGGTCCACTTGTATGGCAGCCTTTTCCTTCCGAGCTTTCTTCTTGGTGTCTTTAAGCTCGTCAAGCTTTTCGTCAATGGCTTCGGTGGTCAAGGGGTCGCCCATATCAAGGGCTTCTTCCTCGGCTTCGGTCGCATCGGCTGAAGCTTCAACGTCTTCACCTTCCTGGTCCTCATCGTCATCAATGAAGTCATATTCATCATCTTCGTATCCTGATTTCTTCGCCTTCTTGCGGGATTTCTTGGGCGAAGAAGAACGCTTTCGCTTAGGTGACTTATCTTGATTTTTAGGAGCATAGACCGTCTTTCCATCTTCAGCAATTCTCTTGAGATCATCCCAGACATCGAAAGTCTCATCCGCATCAGTAAATATGTCACTGTAGACTGCTATGCTATCTTTCATTTCTGTGATTTTCGCGTTCAATTCTGCGCGTTTCTTGTCAATTTCGTCAATTTTTGCATTATCTTCTGCCATAGCTTCTTCTAGACCCAAAGAATCCGAAGCCTCAAGAACAGAAATATCATCAGTCTTGGAACAGATGAAAGTGATTCTTGAAAATTGCTTTAGATAGTTAGTGGATCATCCGCGTGAAGATTGATTACCAAGTTACTTACCCCGTCATACTTCAGCTGCCGCTTGAAGGATTCACCAAGAAGCGACTTTGCGGCTTTATCATCGACTGCTCTATTGATTGGTGCACAAACCCACAAACCTAACAGCATAATTAGACAAAATTGCGAGTGAATATTTGAAATTTGGGGTCGTACCAGTGCATTGCTTCATATACCCAGCCGCAACAGCAGCACGAGCAGCGTTTGAGTCATGAACACCGGGTAAATCGACGATAACGGCGCCACTGATTGTATATTAGCATGGAATGATGATTGATGATGTGTTATTCAATACTTACGTAGATAATGCATCAGCTTTGACGAATATTCTCACAACTTTGATCAAAGGCCAAAACTCCATGGTTCGTTTCTCCTTATCGGCTTTTTTGCCTTTCTCGCCTGTAGACTTCTCTTTGCTGTCAACATACCGCTGAAGTTCTCTATAGAAAAACTCTGGATTAGACTTTTCAACAGCCTTGGTAGTTCCAAGTACTCTTTGAACTTCATCGTGGGCTAGCATCTCCTCGACACTAGAGCCTTCTATCATTTCCTTCGTCATGTTTGGATAGACTTATAATCGATTAGACAAACATATTTTGGGGATGGAGATATGTAATTACCTGCTTTGATTTTGGCATATGCAACGCCAGCATCGGCTTCCGGATTGGTCGAATCACCTGATATCTTGCTCCATATTAGTATCGCCATCAACATAACGATTCATTATTCATTACTCACCTTTCCAGAATCATTGATCAAGTCAGTAAGAGAAATTTGAAGGTCTTTCTTCCAATCAGCTTCTCTGATGAATTCGATCTCTGCTCTATACTTCTTGTTTGGATCGTCGCTGGGGTTCCATGACATCTCCGTTACCACTGCTGTACATGCGCGCATACTAGGAATTCATGAGTATATCTATAAGTCAATTGCGTTGGACGACTTGCCAATTGGTAGGAACTAAGCGTTCTTCATCAAGCATGGCATTGATTACACTACTCTTGCCTGCACCAGTGTTTCCAACAACACCAATAATAGTTGGAGTATCCACACCTTGGGCTAGTAAGATTTCTGTAGGAATCAGTAACAGCTAAGTATTAACATCAAATAATGGAACTCACCGATTTGTTGAAGCCAATGTTTTGTATCTTGATGTGATTGAGCTTCTGGTACATTAAATCGAGTTTTTAACTCGGCGAGGAAATTGTTTGTTTTTTTGACCTCTGCCTCGAGGATCTCCGGCGAGCTAGCTTCGATGATCTTTTGAAGCCTAGTTTTTGCAAGTTCCGCATTAGGTAGGTCTGGCTCTGGGGTTCCATCTTCATCCTTGGGTGAAGCATAGTCTTCAGATTCCACCACACTATCATCTCTGGCCATGGATGTAGGGCGGCCATTGGCTGAGGAACCGAAACTTCCTGGTTCGGGTTTGGTATCAACGACAGGTCTAGGCGATAAAGAACCATTGTTCAATGCATAGAGATCCGATGTTTGAGCAGCTTTCGTTGAATAGTACTCACGGGTTTCAGCTGCCATTTTATCCCAGGTGCGCCGCAAGGAAGACTCAATTTCAGCTACTCCAACATTAGCTAAAGTACGCATGGAATTGTAGAAGGTAGATTTTACCAGGTGTAGCGCTTGAGCTTGTATAGTTCGCACTATGGAGTTCAGAAAAGAACCCGTAACCTAGCCGAAAATCTGGCGCAGAAGGGTTTACTGGCGTAGGATTTTTGCTTGATAGTTTAGGAACCTTCAATTCCCAATATTCACGCGTTGCAGGAGTCAAAACAGTCCAGGATTTCTTCAAGGAAGCTTCGACTGCAGCTGTTCTAGATTAGCTTGGAAACAAACAACGTCAACCACATTGTGGCTTACCAGGTGAAGTTTTAGAATGCAAATAGTTACAGCGATGAGCGTCAGCAAACATATTATATCCTGTGATAGTTTTCAATGCAAGAGCGCTAGACTGTGCTGATCCTGATCCCGATCCCGAAGGTATAGGTGTTCCGCGCTGTGCAGCCTGAGACTGGAAGCTAGAGATGGTAGGAGTTTCAAAAGGACTTGAAGAGACAGCTAAGAGATTTGGTTCTGTCTTCATTCTAATTGAGTCCAATTCAGGATCAGGCTTGATCTTTGCGGGCGTTTGAGTGGTGAACGACATGCGATTCTGAGTGGAAGCACCGACTGATTGTAATGGCTCTTTGCTGATATTAGAATTCTCATCTCCAGAAGTATTTTTTGTGCTCCAAAAGATGATAACATCATCCTTGAAGTGATTGATCTGCTTCATTTGACTTGTCAAGGGTACTATGTGATTTCCTTGACGAAGCTGGGTCATGACATCACATATCTTGTAGTAGGCGTTTTGTACTTTCGCGACAGTGTGTTTGCCTTTGACCTTGAACCAATGTAAATCTTTCGAGTCCCAATTCAAGACATTCAAGTCGGGATCAAGTACTGAGTACACATGGATATCAGTATCATAGACACTTGACGAAGAAATAGGTGGCTACTCACCAGCTGCCCAATATTCGCCCGCTTCTTTTCCAGATTGAGGGGCGACTTTCAAGGCTTTCTCGTGGAGAGCTCGATGTGACGCGAGCTCATCCTTATCAAGCTCCGCCATGACGGGATATCAATCGCGGGGTAGCGTGTTCAGCGTGAAGGGAGTTACGAGAGTGGGTTGTGGGGTATTTTTCAGATGGAATAAGTCGGCAAGGAGGAATGCCGGTAGGTGATTGATCTTAGATAAACGTGAATAACACTGCGTATGAAATCCAAAAATACCAAGGGAAGGTAGAGTATGATGAGATTTGTTTAGGAGAGATAATGTTTTGTGTGCGAAGCCAGTGGAAGATGATTTCCGTAAGTTGTGCAAAAGGAAACAATATTGAAAAGTTAACGCGACGCGCGAGTAAACGCGAAGATGAGGGGAAATTAGTGCTACCAAATGGACGCGTTTAAGTGGTTGACATGGATCTAGGATTATGCGCAGTCACGTGATAGTCCATGGTTCAATGTGGTCAATTCACTTTAACAACCTGATTTCTGGTAAGATATTACATCTATTTTACTCATCCAACCTATTGCTCTCTCTTTACCTCCATCAGCCGCGAAAACTACAAGATGCCACCAAAGAGAAAGGCTGCTACCAGCAGGAAAACCGATGCTGGTTCCTAAAAGGCTGCCAAGCTAAGTACCGACGCGATACCCGAATCAAGTGTACAAGCCGATACGTCAAGTGCTACTTCGAATGCCACAAAGTTTAGATTCTCGAATGCCGATACCGTAAGATTTCCCAAATTCTTTTAAAGATGAGTTCATGTTATCTTTGAGCTAAGCTGTCCCTTTAGCTATCCGATAAACCGTCTTATCTCATTCTTGGCTGGCAATCTACAAACTACGGAGATAACAATGACAATGAAGAAGAAGATGAGGATGGGGCCGAGGGCGAAGGAGCTAGCGAACTTGAAAAAGGCGCAAAGGACAACGAAGACAAAAATGGCAAAGAACAAGATATGGATCTTCCAAAGCAAGGAGAAACACTCGGCGATGAGTGGTGTAGCAGGGTCTCCGATATAGGCTTTCCTATATCTGAGATGGGATGAAGCTTGCTCAGAAATTAAAAGGGGAGCAGCAGAAAAGAGATCAAGACCGTCGTGGTATATACATGTACAATGACTGGAATGGTTATGGATGTTCCGAAGTTATGGAAAACTTGGTAAGCCTCAAAAATGTTGCCAGTGACTTATTCCTAAACGACGAGTAACGGAAATTTCAAGCTAATATCTGGGCTTTATAAAGTTGAAAGATTTCAATCGAGATATCTACAAGAAGACGCTCAGCCCTTATGAAAAATGGGCGTATATTGAAGCCCTAGCAATCTTCTTCAAGGCAGGAGACTTAATGGAATGGATGAGTATGTAATAACTTCCATGTCTCAGTGATCAAGCAATCTAACTGATCTATTAGTGCAAGATGATAGCGATGGACTTAAAGAGATCATCAACATGATGGGAACGATGGTTCTCACCTCTCTCAAAATGCTTTCGGAGCACAATCTTTTCATCCCAGACTCCCAAATAAAGAATATCCCTATCATCTGCCTTCTCATTCTCGAATTCCTTAATGGGCACGCATCAGACCTTGATCTTAGTTGGCAGAGTGAGATTGTTCGGCATTGTGACGAAGCAGATATTAAACTCGTCAAAACTGTACGAAAACAAGTCTCGATTAGTAAGAAATCCCTGGAGGACTGGAGATCCAACTACAAGGAGAAGATGGAGGATTGTGAGGATGCTGAAAACGAAGATGGCTACAAAATTTGGGCGAAGCAAAAGAATTGGAAACCAGAGAATGATTATCATGATACCAACGAAAGAAAATGGTACAGATGGGACTGGAAGCTAGAGGTACTTCTAAACGACACTCTCCAACCTGGTTATCGTTATCTTCATTACTAATACTCATCACACAGTACAAGGACTTCAAGCAAGACCACGCAGGAGGTCACAAATACGATCTGACGAAGATTCCCGAATCCGAGATGAATCGTCTTGCCGGACCATGAGAGGAGGTCGAAGAGCTCGACCCGAGTGATCCAAGGTATCACAAAGAGTTAAGTTCAGATTCTGATGATGACTATGAGTTCGACTTTGCTTAATTGTGGATCAATAGTTGGATATCATAATTTGTACTAGTAGTGATAAGTAGGCAGTTCAAAAATATCACGTAGGCGAACTTCGACGGTCACCTGTCAGTGCTGCTAACAGAAATCCTTTCATTTCGCTACCAGTCTCCTCTGAAAGAAAACAATATAGGGGCCAGTGGGCTAATCCAAGTTGCGAGCCAATCGTATTCAACATACAACTTTTCGGATCTTCGTTTTCAGCTGAATGGTTGTAATAAGCTTTCCGAAAAATCAAAGAATATCACTTTTCAGTATCCGAATTCTGATAATAGGCAGAATCCAAAGCAACTCAATCTGATTCAGTGTAATTGACTCGAGGCGAACAATAAAAGCCTTCAGCAAAATTTGTTGTTTCCCACCGAGGAGAAAGAAGCGGTGTGTTACACAATGAACAACCAATCGCAATTCAATTTCTTTAGCATGATCAATATGATATCTCTTGTTCAGCAAGTATTGGCCGATACAATACAGCGGGACAGGAAAGGAAAATGCGGCAACATATATGCATGCGGGCAATCTTTGACCTTCCGTCTTCGGACTAGACAGACGATCGATATTCTTCAATACTTTGATATTCATATACTTGATTATTAAGTATTGGCCGAGGGCGTGCAGATACCCTGGGTGTGCTAGACCAAAAACGGGATAACATACAGAAGATAAGGGTTATCTAACACTTCCTTGGGTGATGGAGAGTCTAGCAGAATGTGGTTCCGCTGGGATTTTAAAAATGAAGTAAGGCTACCTGTTTGTATATCTAATAACTATAGAATTGTTTACTGATTATTCCTGCAGTACAAAGACTTCAAAAATATGTCCTGGCGGTAGCAAACGGTATGTAAGGCAGTATAACAATCTCCCCCGCTTTGTTTGATTCTTAGTACCTTAAAAACTATACGTCGCGTTCTTTTTTTTTTCGATCCACCAGAATTCATTGGTCCTAACATAGACTATTTTTACGAATATGTACAATTTGAGTTCTCCCGCGCCTCTTTTTGACTCTAGCACTCTTCTTTGCATCATCATCTCACCTTCATTCTCCTACCACAATCAAGCCGAGAATGTTCATTTTGATGTTCAGATGTCATCGAAAACCGTACAAATATAGGATAAAATAGGCATCAACCTTCAATCAAGTCGTCCCACAGCAAAATGAAATGACAAGTAAGCAAGGTTTAGACGGAGATAGGAGCATCAGAGTGATACAGAGTAAATAATAGTTTCGCCGAAGACTCCGGTAGGAATGAGGACAAATGTTAGGTTCAGAAGGAGGATTGGCATCCCAGACATGACGGGCGTAAACACCGAAGATAGAACGTGGTTCTGCTGGAATTGAGAGCTGGAAGCGATACTGCAGTGTCAACGGCGGTGATGCAATGATTGCTAAAGATTTCTACAGTCCAAGGCACACAAGAAAACACACATCTGTGGAAATCGTCGCATTTTCCTCGGTAAGGTCGGATATTAAAACTGACCTCGATAACTGGACAAAAACCTCGCCTAGCGTTGCTTGATCTCTTGATGGTCTTCGGCTGCTTAGTCTTCAATTTTTGGACATTCATCGGTACTTTGCGTCACAATACGTGCTGTCACTACTTTAAGGATAGCTGAGGCATATTCTTTTCATCCATTGATAGATCACCAATGCACACCGGAAGAAATGCCAATATATGCATGGAGCCGTATGAATTTGCCCTCATACTATCCTAGTTTCATAAGCCTCACTTCTGACCACAGCCAAGCGATTCTTCGTTCATACACCGAGTAGGAAGTCTGGACAACTGTATCCGCGCAATTTCAAGCGTTTTTGACACTGCAGGTCATTTACAAACGATCAGACTCTACACGCCTTTCAAGGACCAATTGATGAGCGCAAGCGACACGGTTATCCGCAGATGCGCAGCTCAGCACATTTTTAACCGTGGTGCAAGCGTTTCAGATTGTGCCCTCGTAGTCCAGAAGTCACGCACTTTTTAAAGTTGCACAAACGTCGGAGAATTGCATTTAGTGGGTTACACTTAAAAGCACGACTTGTATCGCAGTGCTAATGCTGTATGATCGGAAAAATTGAGGCTTGGCAACGGTGAGGGGTGCATCGACATGATCTGGTATTGGGAAGATTGTTTCTGATATTCTTGAAGTAAGGAGAGATGGTGAGGCATTTTGAAAGCATAACCGCGGGTTTGTTGAACTAAGATACTCATTTACCTAAGAATTGACCAAAAAGAGATAGGAAAAACTTCAGCTAATAGCCCCTAGCCACGACCCTAGATTCTAAACATAACATCACCCAGATCACGACCCCTTAATAACTACTTGCGTGTAGCAACGTCATCAGCAAACCCATAAGAATTTCCTGCATGAACCCTGGAACTTCCAGAAATTGTGTATCCTTCCGTCTCCGAAGTGAGCTACGGCCGTACCGGTGACCGAGATATTTTTGTACTCATTCAGTCTTCCTCGGGACTGGATAATCTCCCCTCCTACCTGGGTCAAGATAGCATCTTCTTTCTTGATAGCTTCCATCAACAACTTCACATCTTTGTTGTCCTTGACCTCCTTCAAATCGAGTCTTGCCAATGCAACTTGGACCTCTTTCACGCCAGGATACAGATTATCCAGATCGTCAATTAATGACGATATGTTCCCGATGGTGACTCGAAATTGTTCTCTCTCATAGATCACCCATTGTCCTTTTCTCATCATCGTGGCCTCCTTCAATTTATTCATCTCTTTTCGGTGCTTGACGAGCGCTAGACCCATTGACTGGGCGATTCTCTTGACTGTAGAATCGCTATTACGCTCAATGACGACCAACGCTGAATCATGCGAGTTCTTGCTATGGAGTCTTGTTGATTTAACATTTATCTCCGCAATGAGTGCCTTCACCTGAACCATGACTTTATCTATACTGGCAAGATCCTCCTTGTTCAAGTGATGGGCTCTGCTGTACTGTGCCATGGACTCGCCCCATCGGTTGAGACGTAGCTCCAAGTTGACCAGCCTCAATGCACAGGTTGTAAACTCTTGTGCAAACTCCTGGCCTAGCTTTATGTACTTGATCGCGTCCGCACATGAGGTGAAGAGACCGACAAGTGAGACGACGCCGATAGCAAGTCCTGCCGCTTCTGCCATGTCTGTGATTTTCAACAGTTTCGAAGGTTTTTTGAATATCGGGATGTTTGAACTGGCAGCAGAAGAAAGTGTTTTCGATAATTTCAAGGGTGTTTTGAACATCGAGAGGCTTAGGCTGGCAGCAGAAGGACGTGCAAGTGAAATCTTTTCCAGCAAGATGTTCGATATAAATACCGGGGATGGGCCCCTCCTTTGGAAGGCATGGATATGTAGCACGATGGATCGTAACACCCCAAGAAAGGTGGTGATTCAAAGAAGATGCGGTGACCAGAGTAACCTTATTGTAATCACGTTCATAATCTTGTTCCGAATACAAGGGAATGTATATGCATAGCTGAGCTCATGTGTAGCCACACCTTATAAGATGAGAAGGCTGGCCTAAAGCAAGCTCTCATATGATCTCTGAGCCATTCTGCGTCTGTTGGGAGATTCATTGCATGGCATACTCCAACTAGCTGATTATGTGCTCTGTGAGTATATCATAATCACATTGATTATTCACCTCAAAATATGGAAGGATACCCTATCTCCAACAGTCACGGCTCGACCTTCACCAACTGTAACGTATCGGATAATTCTCAGGCATTCCTTGGCCACAGTACCATTCAAACCGTAAATAATTACAACGCAGGTAAGATCCAAATAGCCTGAGTTAGTCTTCTAAATTCTAATTGCTTTGACAACAGGTTACAGAGGTCCTGAAAAAGACTTGAAGATACAGTTTCGTGAGGCTTTGCAATCGATTGCCAGTAATCCCAGGTTCTTTAACATCGAAGATGCTAAGCGGGACACTTTTGAGTGGGTTTGGGACGATAGAACATGTGACTATTGCCGCTGCTTATAATTAGGAAATGGCCTCTTTTGTATCCTTGGGAAACCAGGTGCTGGAAAGTCTACTTTAATGAAGCATATATTCAAAACCCATAGGGAAAAAGGCACCTCCGTCATCAAATACTTTCTTTCCGAGCTCGGCCACGAGCATGAGAAGAAGCTTACCGGACTACTATCTTCAGTCTTCGACCAGCTGTTAGATCTCTTCCCGGGACTTATATCCTCGTTCATTCTGCCAATATTCAAGGATGTGAAACGTCATAATCCCCGCAATGAATTCTTATTTCCAGAGCAAGAACTAAAGGACGCGCTCAAACTGGTTGTTGAGAAGTGTCAGACGAAGAAGACGGTGATTTTACTTATCGACGGCTGGGATGAATGTGAACCTGAAATGCAATCAGAAGGACTTTACTTTTTAAAAGACTGGGTCGATTCTACCATTCAACGAAAAACACCACTGTCGATAAAGCTCTGTCTGGCAAGCCGGTTAGGGACTTCGATAGATACTTTTTGCCACTCTTCGCCTAAATTCAAGATCCACGAGTACACCACGCCTGGCATATACAAGCTTACCCAGTTTAGGCTAAACGAAATCATGACTGAAAGAATGAATGCAGGCAGGAAAGATCTGAGAGACACAGTTCGTGATGCTTTAAGCCATAAGATTGCGCGAAAGTCGGAAGGAGTTTTTCTCTGAGCGAAGCTGACAACAGACAAAATTATCTAAGATCTGAAAAGAGGTTCCACGGAGCAGGATCTTCATCAGAACATTGATGAGCTTCCTGAGCAGATCGAAGAATTATACAAAAGATTTGTGACACAATTGGAGTGTCCGAAACGAGCCTGGAAATATTTGCAGTTGTTCTGCTTGCCGTGTGAGGCAGGGGGCTTTCACCCCTGGAGATATCCAACGTTGCTCGAACTTTCTTTCGTGGATACAACTGTGGCTCGGATTATTCAGCTGGATACTCAGGACAAGAAAACAGTTTTCGCGCTTGATATCATTGATCGTCTACAAGAAAGCTGTGGACAGTTTCTAGAGGTCATTGATATGGACAAAAAGTATATTAGTAACACCCTTATTGAGAGCTGGAACTACGACGATTATCCTTCTCATGATGACGATATGCGTAGTGTCCAACCGGTACACAAGACTGTCGTTGAATTTATCGCCAAAAAATCGAGGTTTGCTGCCAGTTTCGAAGAAGCCAGTGAAAGTGATTGGTTGGATGCTCGGATTACACAACTTAGGTGCTGGCTGCGACTCCTAGTTGTCCTCGCAAATCCTGAATGGGGAGACCAAGATTCCGAAAACCTTCAGACCTGCAATACTCCCATTATGAATTACAGATTGACGGCATTTTTCTCGGCTGCTGAGTATATTGATGAGCATTTCGAGCATCTACCTCAAGATTATATTAATTATATTAATACATTGATCTGCTGGATTATGCCCTTTCAAAACACAATCCTCACTGGCATGATAGCTACTACTATCAAATAACAGGTGCCGATCGTTTTTGCAAATTTGAGCCATGTTGCAACATTTACGATAATACTTCGTTTCCACAACTGGACAAATTGACCCTCGCTATGACCAATGGATTGTTTGGTTATGTCAAAGTCAAACTACCTCTTTCGGACGACCTCCGAAGAGCTACGGCCCGTCAAATGCCACTACTATTATGTGCTGTCAGTTGTCTGAATCATTCTAACTTGAAGGACTACCAGCGTGGACTCGACTTGGTAAAAGTTTTACTACTCAGCGGCAGTTACTCCGTAAATGAGTTATATAGAGGGCTGTCCAGTTGGCAGTACTTGATCCTCCGGACGATTGTGATTTGGAATGTCGAAGAACATCGTCCAGATTTGGATATCTACAGCTTGTTCTTGGAACATCGTGCCAATCCGGACATAAATTTTGGGCCAGGATTGAGATTGGACGAAAGCTTAGTCAAAGCACACCTCCCAGCTGATCCTAACGAGATGATAGAATGTGGGTTTGTAGGACCCCTCTGTCTTGCACCAGAGACCTACGACTCTGAGTATTATCAATCATGGTCGTTTGATACCAACTAGAACTATGATAGTTCCAGTATAGAATCACCATTGAGAATCGTCACAGCACGACTCGCAGCACATGAGTCAAAAATAAAACCTGTCTCCAGTCCGAGTATGTTTCACTTGCATCGATCATTGTGGCATTTGGAGACGCTATTAAAGAGATATCGCAGACCTATCCCTTCTGCACCAATTCTTCATACGACGAGTCATAATCATCATCAACATAAACCTCCCTCAAGATCAAATACTTCAAGCCCACAAATGGCTTGACTGGTTGATCTTGGGAAGCGATCTGATTTCTCTCTGATACTCTTGGACTGTTGACTTCAAACATGTTTCATTATCTTCCATGCCATTTCATTCCAACTTTCCTTCATCTCGTTTCTCCTACCGGTACTTGTAGAGATGTCTCGTCGCTCTGTCAACATCTCCAGTAACATTTCTCTTTCGTGCGTTATTTGTCACTGTCGTTTATTCGGGATTTATCTAGTACTTATCAATCATAATGAAGTTACGGCCATGTTATCTCTGCCTACTACCTCGGAAACAAAATTTCAACCTATTCAGCAATGAAACCTGAGCTCTTTGTACTTATGATATTAGATGGTGTCATACTCTTGAATTTATATCATCTTAAGTGAAAATCCGCCTAAAATTCTCTTCGCGTGTATCTTGATCCCTCTGTTTTGTTTATTGTGATAGTTCTTTCTCGAGCACGTTGCTGTCTGCCAAGATCAACATGGTTTCCATAATCCACCGAGACTTCATTCTAGTAGCGTTGGTGATCTCAATATATGGTGCATCGTGAGCCATAACTCGGCGATCACGAGCAATGACAGGAATCTAGAGTTGACTGATGAACAATGTGCCACTGTGTTTCCTGAACTTTTTGAAGATATCCCGAGAGCAAAACATCATGATCAGAATGAGTTTAGATTGATAGGGCTTGAGTATATCAATTCCATAGATTTCAGCATCAACACAGGTAGAGCTGTGGTTCTTTATGGTCCATCTCAGACCCTTAACGTTCTGTGTGTCCGGCCCCGAAAACCGCCAAAAGGCCCTTGGCGTCCAGTCTGGACTGCAGTGCGTTAATAATATTCCTACCTATACTCCACCTGACATAAATCTGTCTTCTCAATAGAAGACATGGCCAACGAGTCATACATACCTATCTGAATGCTCACACGACGTCCTCGCGATAAATGTCCATGGCTTGTTCCCAAAGTTTGGCTTCTGGAGTTGGGATATTGAGGAGATAGAACCATGGGATGAAGTATTTGACGAAGTCATTCGACAAGATGATGAAAATATGGAGGAGACAATCTCAAAATTGGTGCGGAGGCGGACTTTGACCAAAGTACCGAGTTTTAGACGAACGCTGGTAAATACTTCGAAGGGTAAGTAAGAGCTGGAGTGATGCTCAGGAGTATCTTCGTACTGAACCACCAGAGGTTCTGAGATAGAAGGGAATCACATCACGGCGGTTAATCAGTGCAAATATATGTTTATTACACATGGTGAAGGTCTCTTTTTTTTTTTTTTAGCTCCTCAATGATATCAGATTCATAGATGGGGTAGGACGAAGCTACTCAGGCTCTCCAAAATATCAGCAGATTTGCCACTAAGTGCCCATCATTCATAAATTGTGTTGGATACGATACTATCATTATTTGATGTCTTCCTTGGGACCAGGCAAAAGGTTTGTCGAGGTGGAACGCAATTACTTTTTCAAAATACCCAAAAATACCTAAAAACGAGTTCTCGCTAGAGATTCAATCCATTTCAGAGATTCAACTAATTGAGAGATCTATCATTCTTTAGGGTTGAACTTTCCACTCTTAAAGACATGCATGTCAAAAAGAAATCTTCCAAAAACTCTGGATAGACTGTCATTATACCAGAGGCGGGAGTGGTTAGAGAACACTGGAATGGAATTGAAAGGAAAATTTTCTACCAAGCTTCTTTCTGGAAGTTACTAGAACCGGAATCTAGCAATTAAGATCACAGGCTTACATGATGAAACACATCTAATCACTATCAGTAACTTTATTCAATAATTTAATTCACTATTCGATATTCCCACATGAATTCTAGATTATCGCAGAATATTCACCGGCAGTTCCACACCAAAGATACAAATCATCAACAGCATAGTACATACATATCCAAAAGAAAAACTAAACTAAAGAACCGTTTAAGATCGCCAAACAAACCCATCTATCCAGATATATTGACTGGAAAAGGCACCGACAATTCGGTTCTTTTTTTGAAGTACCGAGCTGTCTTGTGTGTGTTGCATTTGAAAGATTCATGTAGGTTGGCCAAGCCAGGAATATTGATTTGGGGCATTTGCTCACGTCTTCATAGCTAACTCCTTGCAAAGTTATCGTACCCAAAGACCACGGAATTCCATCTCTCAACGACCTGAAGAATACATCTGTCGACATTTACGCTACCTCCATCTTATTGTCCCATCTACAACACAGCCATTATGACGAATCTCTCAGGTCCTGTTACTATTGTTGATCCTGATGGAGACTTGGTCCTGCTTTGGGGTCCCATACCGTCTGGTGACTCGAACCAGTACAAACACCATGTTCTTGTCTCTTCAAAACACATGCTATTTGCCTCGCCGGTCTTCAAGGCCATGTTAAAAGGAGGCTTCCAAGAGGCTATAGAACTCAAGACGATAGGGAAAACTGAGATACCACTTCCAGACGATGATTCAACTGCCATGATCATACTAACCGACATCATTCATGGCCGTCTAAAGTCGGTTCCAAAGACACTTAGCTTACCTACCCTTACTTAAATGGCAATCTTGGTGGATAAATATCAGTGCCACGAGGCGACGCAACTGCTATGCACTGTATGGGCTACAGATTTCCTTCCAACCGATTCATGGAAGCAGAACTGGTTTGACACTGCTTGCTGGATATGTGTAGCATGGGTTTTTGAGCTAGATACCGAATTCAAGAAAGCTACGGAAGAAGTCATCAGAAGAAGTGGAATTGGGCTTGGTCCAATACTAGAGGAAAATGAATTGGATTTCCCTGTTCCGGCAGATGCTATTGGTAATATTCTACATATCACATTAAAAAGTGCTGTATTGCTGACAGTTATTACAGACGATGTAGATGAAAGGCGTCAAAGTGCCGTACGCCAACTTATCGAGATCCTGGATCATACAATATTGAGGTATCAGGGACCAACTATAATATGTCCCACCTTTACCTCACCAGAATACAAAGTGCCATATGACCCGACTGAATTGGCCAACTACTTAGTAAACAGTAAATCTCACAGAGAATACTGCGATTCAATGGTCCTTGGATATCTGATCAAGAGTGCTACGGCGCAGGGCCTTTTTCCGCTCCCACAAGCTCCCTTGTATAACTCATTGAGTCTCGATGCTCTCAAAACTAAAGTTAGATCATTGAAAGTTACAACTGGTTGTACCAAGATGTTTCAAAGATCTTGCGATGATCATGATATTTTGAAGACACTCAAACAATCGGTGGCGAAAGTAGATTCACAAATATGCGGTTTAGACCTGGCAAGTTTCAAAAAGCCTCGTCGAGGCACATAGATATCTTCTTCGTTTGCCTCGTTGATTTTCCTCTATACCTTAACAGGGTATTCAATGATGCGGACTTCTGACCAGATCAAGCAGCTTTCTCGGTGTTCGAAGAGTCATGAATCTTCAAGGATGGTTTAGTTGTTTGGGTGGATTAGATCTTTCAAACGAGTTCAAGAATCAAAAAAGTTGCATTGTTCGACTGTAGTCCAGATTTTTATTGGACACCCTGTGTCTTAATTCAGCGCTATCGTAATACTGTTCTTTCACCACAACGTAGACATGTGCATTTGAGCAGATGAAAGAGGTCGATCAACATGTAAAAAATAACCATGGATAGACTCATTCATACATTAATTTTGACTTTGTTGAACCTACTTCATTTAGCTCACTGATTTCTTCCTCCTAGCTCGCTTCAAGATATCATTGCTCCAACTAGAACCTTCAATTACGCTTTCGCTCCAGATGTGATAACAGATGCCATGCTGGAGCATTGTACACGGAGTAAAATTGCCTTGTATTCGGCTTTATATCTGTGGAAAAGACGGGTTTATTTGGGGCCAGAATTGGCAGATGATGTTCTAGACTTCTAGCAATCAAGATACCAAATTTATAGTCGAGTACAAGTCTGGTATTTTCTCTCGATGTGCAAGAACTAGGAATGGTAAAATTAGAGATTGTAAGGTTTATCCCCGCATTAAAATCTCCAAGATATGATCTTTCAGCTTGGAAATACGCTAGCCAGAAGTAGTTACAGTATATCCCCACGTGAGCATCATCACTTACTCCAACGGATCCTTGAGAATAGTTGATATTTAGCCACAATTACCATACTCTTATGCCCCTCCATTCCCTTTTCTCAATAAATAATTTTATCAAATTTGAAGTAGCTACGACAACAATGTCTTCAGGTGTCAACGTTATTGTCGACCCCGATGGAGATCTGGTCCTTCTCTTAGATCCAACCACACCGGATCTCTCAAAGTCCACCGACTCTTCACCAAGAGGCACTTCGGCCATCGAAACCCCTCCTAAGAATACACACAAACACACCTACAAAACCCTGGTTCAGTGGGAATCCACCCTGGTATATAATTCGCGTATACTGGTATCCTCGAAGCATATGTCCCTAGCGTCTCCGGTATTCAAAGCAATGCTACAGGGAAGCTTTCGGGAGGGTATCGAACTAAAAACAATGGGAAAACTCGAAGTTCCGCTTCCAGATGACCATCCCGCTGCGATGACAATTTTGATTAATATAATTCATGGTCGCATGAACTCAGTCCGGTTGAAGATCGAATTAGAATTGTTTACGCAGATGGCGATTCTAGTGGATAAATATCAGTGTCCAGAAGTTGTACGGCCCTTCTCTTCCATCTGGAAGAAAGAATTGTCGGCTACGTGGAGCAAGCGGAGCAACTGTACCGATATCGCTTGTTGGATATGCATAGCCTGGCAGTTCGAGCTGGACGATGAATTCCTCAAAGCAACGCAAATAATACAGAAGCAATGGACTTGCAGTCTTAAGGAGAGAATGGAACAATTGAGATACCGCCTGCCCGTTCCCAAAATATTAATTGGTAAGCTTCCCCCAATATTGAGTATGACATTGGGTGTATCACTAACTTTTTAAAGATAAATTGGAGTCATCTAGGCTAGAAAGCATCGGAAAAGCCGTCCAAATCCTCGACGCCACCATAGCTAAATATTCGCTCTCCAGTCTCAATTGCACTTTCAATGGGTCTCCCACAAGAAGCAATGACCGCAATTACGATTACGGCAATCACGATAGTTATGGGAGAAGAAACCCTACAGCATCATGGGATTATAGCAACATTCCTTCTTACAGAAAAGATTGCGACTCGATGGTGCTTGGGTCTTTGATTAAGAGTGTTACCGAGAATGGGTTGTATCCTCTTCCAAAACCGCCATACACTCCATGGTCGCTGACATCATTCATTTCGAAAGTTGCACTTCTCGAGATCAATACGCTATGTTTCAAGATAACGAAAGCGCAAACAGATCAACATGACATCAAAAGCCAGCTCAATTTAGCAATGAATGCTATTCATGTACCAAGTCTAACTTTAGCATCCTGCAAAGAGCTGATCAATAAGACCCGACAATAAGCTCCTCTACTTTCATCGCAGTGCTCCGTCATCTATCTCTCTAATATGGTGGAATCTTCGATATCGGCCTTCATATCCCGAAGATTACGCTAGCTTGCGAACTATACGGTCTCTGCATGCAATTGAATCGTCAAATCCTTTACAATAATTCAGACAAAGCCACGCATGCTTTGCTCCTTCTGAAGGAGAATTTGTATTGGGTTTTTCCGTGGTCATATTCTTGTTCTTAAGTCTTCCTGGCCAGATTTATCTTACCATCTCCTCTTCTCACTAGGCTTTTACATGAACAACTTTGCTTGCAATAATATCAAGATAGCTCAAGGGATTGTATCCACGTGGTATAAATCATGGGTGGAATATGCGGCGTCTATAGGTGGCATGACGTAAGGAATGGTAATGAATAAGGACAATTAACAAAATAAGGTGATGAATATCATACATTCTACTTGACGGTTCTCTGGATGCGACCAGGAGGAAATGAAATCTGACACGAGTCATCGACCCATTGGCAGTTTTGATGCATCTTCGTTTCTGTATTCATTGATTGGGAATTGTATGACTTGGATTAGTGACGTTAGTGACGTTAGTGAATACTCTAATATGCTCCTTATGTCTAAAGAGGCATTTCATTTAAGTCGAACCAAAGGACTAGTATGCTGATAGACATCAATCAACTAATCAATGATAACAAGAAAGCTCCGTACTACCTTAGAACTAAAATATTTGCTTGGTAGCTTCGACCAATAAGTCTTTTGTCTCTAATTGGATCCTGGAATGGATTTAGGGAGAGTACGAAGCCAGCTAAGGGGTTTGGGATAATATGTGCCGGAAAACTGACATCATGACCCACAGCTGCGGCGCAGGCCTGGAAGGAATTGTCATAAGTGTCCTGTCAGCACCTATTGTCCATAGTTTGTCTTCTTGCATCTTATCTATGTTAACTATATCTGGTTTTCCAACTTAAATTTACCAAAACCATCATCCAGCACTTGCATGTTTATCATTTATTTTCATCACAAATTTACAATTAATTGGTGTTCAATACAGCTCCGGCAAAGGCTTTCGCAACCATGGCCAGCGAAATCATGAAACAGGGCGATTCCTCCGAATTTTAGCGTGGGCATGGAATCACCACTTTCTGTAAACTTTGCGACGGTATTATCTTTAATTATATAGATACATTGGGGCTGCAACAGTAGGTAGGCAGAAGTTAAATCCACCAGAAGACAAAACACCTACCATTTTAATGACATTGAACGGCGCACAAGGAGGCTATCGTCTTTGCGAGGTTAGAAAACGGATACTGTTTGTTTATTTCCCAATTTCAAAAAGTACCTCCCGTGTTTTATTCCAAAGCTTGGTATGAGAAGAACTTTGATAAAGTTCGGCTGTCAACACAACATCACGAATGAATAATGAGGGCCTGACTTCGCTTCGGAGAGTGACAAATTGATCCGAGAAGAGGTTCATGAAGAGTCTTATGGTAATGGAGAATATACCATACGTATCATAATCATAAGACAATTGCTTGGCGACGCAGCCCCCTCGAGAACTGTGGATTAAGCGAGGCCTAACCCGCTAGCTTACACGTCTAGCCAAGATGAGCAGATACCAAGATCCATGCGTAAATACAAGGCCCGAATATCCTCCCATACACCAAAGACACCTCGATTATCTAGCAATTGCTCGTACTTTGTCAATTCGGAGTAATATTGAAGCTTCAAAAGCAATCATTTCTGACATTTTTCTGACTTGATAAAATGGCAATATTTGTATACTCGTCTCATTCTATTTGTTCATCATGTCATTCGTAAAGTGCCTGAACATCTTCTATCCCCAAGTTCCCTTCGGTGGTCCAAAAGTCTCTCCAATAGCCACCGTCCTCTGCACCGCCGTCTCCAAATAATCTGTCGTACTCCCCGGCGTCCTATTACCCCACCACTACTCAAGTTTATTAGCATTTGAACGACCAATTCATATTAGATCCCAAACGCCTTCACAAACAATAGAACGAAATATCAACTCACATCCGGAAATCCCGTCCCCGTCAAATTCAACGCTGCAATAATAACAATCGTAGAAATTGCCAACCCCGCATCTAACCCCGCACTCGTAATATAATTAAACCGCATCCACCATCCTCTCCATCGATTCTTAATAACCTTCTGAAAAATGAATCCATACAAACACCAACTGAGATAATTCAGCGGCGTAGCAGGAGGTAGTTCGCCCATACCACCAAAGAATATCGGAGCGCTGAAGTAGCGGATCTTGGATTTGGGGAATGCTCGCGCGAGGAAATATATAAGGAATGGAAGGACTGCACCCGCCAGCCAAAAATATTGGAGAGAGCCGTAGATGGCTCCGGTGCTAAAGATACGTTGAGGGCCAATTAATCCGAAGATAACGCTGGCGTTGAAGAAAACTCGAGGGCCGGGACAGGTGAAATTGGTTTTCTGGTCGCTAGTGCATATGCCTTCGATATTACCCAATGCCCACTCCAAAACAGCCAATTGTACGAAACAACTCCAAATAGTTGCTATCAATTGACCCCAGAATACTGGTCTTTGTGGGATCTTAAGGTAATGAGCGAGTTTCAAATCAGATAGAAAGGCATGTGCTTGGTTCATAGTAATATATCCATATGTTTTAAACAACATGAGAGCAATGGGACGACCGGGGAGCATATACCCTAGTATATATTCGGTGAATACGTTGAGACCGAGATGGATGTTGGTGGTTGCGTAAATGATACCGATGGGGATGGTCCAGAAAAGGGAGATTAGGAGCGCGATGATTAGTGCCCACCATGTTAGATGAGTGGGGTATGCGCAGACGGCTGCGAGGGCCATGCCCATCATTATGAGAAAGAAGGTGATGTACCACCAGCTGGGGACGGGCTTGTACTTTCGCATCATTTTAGTGTGGTTGTCGTCTAGACTTCCGCGGATGGCGCGGGATAGTATCCACTGTGGAGTATGCGTTAGAGCTTGTCGCGGGTCGTAGTTGAAATTTAGGAAGCGAGTAAACTTACGATTTCTTGACCATGGAATAAGATAGTATGGAATATCACCGCAGTGATAGCAGCGAAAGAAAGACCATAAGTCAGACTGAAGGTGGTCGAAAGAAATAATGGTGAGTATTCCTGTTGACGAAATTAGTGTTCTTACCCCTAGTCATTAAGCGAGAAAATACGTACCTTATACTTCTCAACATCAAGCGTGTACTCCGGAGTCAGAATCTTGCTAACATTGTAATGTTTCCCCGTATTATCATAACTATTTGAGTCGGAAATGGGTAACCATTCACCATACCAATGACCCGAGAAATGAACTCCAGCCGTTACGATCATGAACCAAAATACGGTACCGATGGCTGTGTTAGCAATGGCAAACCAGGGTGGAATGAGTGGGGACAGTAGGTTATATCCTATAAAATTGGTAAGTAGATATCCATTCAATGTATCTGCCTGAGTTTGAGAGATAATGTCCCACCAGTAATTTGAGTCCAATCAAAAGTAATAGGAATAAGAGAAATGCCCGTCCATCCACCAAAGACCTGATTAAGGATAACATTTTTCGGACGGATCCACGTCACAAAAGCAAATACACTGAGGAATTTTGCAATATAGCCCGGAAACCAGTACCAAGTAAACGATCCAATGAAGACATATAAGAAAAATCTATATCTAGCTATGGACCAACCATTAGACTTAGCAGGATCAGTTTTGCCGTGATCATGTAGCGTGTAAATGAATGAGGTATTAACGAGAGTTTGGGGCCAAATCATCGAAGCAGGCTCGACGAGGAACTTTCGCATCATGCCTGCCATTCCAAACCCAATACACTGGGTAGTTAGCGCGAATAAGATGTTGAAACCCCAACCGAAGTTCTGTCCGTAGAATCCTCGTTGGGCAGTCAGTGTATCGGTGAAATATGCTACGCCTTGACCGAAAGCTGCATTGGCCATGATTACTATCAGACCGTGTTCCTTCATATTGAATTTCCCCGGACTGAGGTTCCATTTCACTCCAAAAGTATTGTAGGTTCGATCGGGAAGTATCATGGTCCAGCCTACTCCGAGTGGGTATGCGACCATCTGGACGACAATGGATGTGATTGTTAGAGAAGGAGCTCGAAGTGAGAAGAGAGAGTTTAAACCGGATGCGATTGTGTTGAGAGTGAGTCCAATTACCCATGCTCGAATCGTATTACATGGGAGATCTTCGTCGTAGTTTCTGACCGCTGCACGAACCTATTTCTGGGTTAGATGGAATTTAAGATCAAGGACCACATGGACCTACCTCGGGGTACGGTGAGTTCTCAAACACTTCATCATAAATACGCCCTTTAGCATTTGCATCCCGTCTATTAAGAGCATCATCGATTTCCTCCAATTGATCTTGACCCAAATTTGGATCCCATCGATGAAGTTGTTCAAATGCTGTTAACTTTCGATTTGCTTCCAGTTCCTTGAAATCATGAGCAGTTGATGTTGCACCATCCTTACTTTCTATCTTTTCAATGGTATCTGATGGATCCTGTGACCCCGTGATAGAGTCGTGAGAAGGCGGAGTGCTTATTGGCACTACGGTGGGACTCCGGGCGCGGAATCGCTCGAATAATCCAGACATTATGATATATCTAGAGAATGCAAATCAAAAGGAAAGATGGAAGAGACATGAAAGATATATAGATTGAGTTGGACTCAGGACGGAGAAGTATTTGAAAGGGCCGTCTCTAGCTTGATGCAACTTTCCGATAAGCTAAATCAGAAAAGATATCTCCTCTTCTTACGTTTATGATAACATACAGTTGAGATTCGAGGGGGAAGCAGATTGATAAGACATTTAGCCGGAATTCCCTAATTCCAACGGGAAACCAACAAGAACTTCGCCATATGTACCCATTATAGGAAAGTCCTTATATTTCCAGCCCTTGCCAGTGTAATAGCAGATGCGATTGCCGTAATACGCGGGCAACATGATAGAAATGTTGTGCATAATCGTTGACCAATTAGAACTCGAAATGTTCCGCATATCGAACACGACCCCGCATATTTGACCAGGTAGACGATAAGAGTCCCCCTATCGACGAGCCCTTATCTTTTGAGGGTTGTTTGCGGCGTGCGAGTACGCATTTAAGGAATTCCTGAAAGATGTCTGGACTGTTCTGAGCGAGTTATGGTTGGATTCGATCTAGCACGATATGAACTCCGCGAAAGGTATCTCGGATAGCTGGGGGGTGATAATCTGCGCCCAATCTGATTTCGTGTCACTATCCAGAATCAATCCAATTGCGTGCCATTATACAACAGAATAGGTTTATGCAGTACAGTAAAAGAGACTGCCATATCATCAAAATCGTCTGCTTCAATTCGGATACCTACTACTACGCCCAGCTTCTTAAGTATGGAATATTGTTCCAAGAATTCACCATATTAAGATGGTTCTTCATACACATTCGAGCGAAGTGTGGTTTGAAATAGTGTCCCGTTTACCTTAATCGTAGGTGAAGACTACTCGAACGTTTCGAGGATCAGGCGTGGAAGTCTTCCAATGTTCCAACCCAGATCGATTTCCATCGGAAAAACTGCAGGAACCAATCGAGTTATTCCTGCCTGTATCAAGCTTAAATATAGTGAGGTAAGTTCAGATAGTAAGGGGTTCTCTGTAGGTCACGCAAAGGCGACGGAGCTATTTATCAAAGCCGCAAAACACCGAATATTTAGCAGATAGAAGGAATGCAGAACGTCTGCGGTATTGAGGTATGCATCTCACTCGCTACCTACCGCGGAATCGCAGTCTGAGTTGATAGACACATCCTGAAGTTGTTGAAAGCGGGACAATCCATGATCAAGGGAAATCGCATGAAGCCGGTCGGAGAACCATACAAATTATTCGATTTTCCACGGCGCAGCTCTTGAATCTGAAGATCACCATAAAGAACATCGAGCTTCTTGATGATCACAATGGGGTCTTTCAGATCGATCTCGACAAACGTCCGTACTTTGCACTTACTTCAATCTTGCAGTACAGTATATATTTCTTGCTGATAGTAATGCCCTGCATCAAACCTCAAACGGTTCTAATTGCGATATCTTAAAGGTGCGCTTGCCGAGATATAAGATATATGCACGCAAAAAATACCGGATGTAGATATCATGTGACGAAACAACAGCTGTTCTCTCATCCCAGGAGGAAGCTCTTCCTAGATTTACCAGAGTGTCAGAGATACCTCATCACCACAGACTGCAATAGAAGTCATATAACTACCGAGTAATGGTCATAAAGCAGCTTCTAGAATCTAGATTTACTTTGACCTTCCCCAGGATACAAAAGCCCCGATAAATCGCACGACGTGCTGAATCTGAGTCCAACTCCAATCCTATTTCGAGTCTTGGAGCAAGACAGGATTCTATCCGGAGCTCCCATAGTAATGAGGCTGCAAATATAATACTTGTGTCGGGAATTTCAGAAGGAAAGCTATTCTTCAATCCTGTATCAGCAAGAAGTGGCGTGTGGGTAAACATTGTACTTCTTGCCCAGGTGCTCGGAAGAAGACGAGAGAGTTCTACGATGGCTATGGAAGGACCGCTGGGTAGATTATATTTGTAGAACGCAGTTTGAACTGAAAGAACCTGCTTCAAAGCGCATGAAAGATTCCTTGAAATTGTATCGACTGGGTGTGAATCTTCAATCTTTCATCAGCGAGTGCTGATTGGTATCTGCGATGAAGCATTCCAGAAATTCACGTCTCACTCAGGCTGAGAAAGAAAACACCGAGCAATCAGATGAAAGATGCCACTACGCAATGATATTAGAAAACATGTTCACGCAAATTCTGATGAATATTAGCCCTATCATATAGGGCTATTATAAGAGAATGGTATCTTAACAGTCCTGCCGTTGAGCAGATCTCAAGGAGTGAACCATTTGAGAGATATGCCTAGTATTTGAAGTCAGAATGATCTTGATGGGAGTAGAAGGAAGTGCAAAAAGTCTCAATCGTTCACTTGACTTTTTGACAGTTCTATAAAAGCATTTTCCATTTTAGTACCTCCTGTATACCTACCTATTTTTGGCTTAAGTCTCTAATGTATGACTTTAGCATTCAGATTTTGATAGGCCAGGAAGAAGGAGAAAGGAAAGAAACAAGAGAGAAAGAAGAATAATAAGAATAAACACTATAGAAAAAGCGATTGAAATACATGTCAGCAGCCTGAGAAGTGAAAGGAGATGGAGGTATAGTAGGGTTTAAACGTTGATTTAGTGATTTATAGATATCAACCGCCTGTATATAAATTCCAAGGTTAGATAGAAAAGTATGGGTGATATACGAGTATTGAGCTTGACGAAAGAGCAAGGGATATGGATATTCCGTCACGGTAGGAAATTCCAATCAATTTGGAACGTCTGAGGGGAGGGGAAGGAAGTTTTTGGGAGAGAAAGGAAAAATAAAGGAGGATGAAAGTTGGAAATTGGAAGGTGATGGAAAGGAAAGTTATTGCACTCACTATACTTCTGTGTAGACTAGTGTTAAACTCTTCTTGAATACAGGGAAAATAGAGTAAGCACAGCAAAAGCAAAAGCCAAGGAAAACAAACCCTAACTAATTCATACTCAAAGTCTTGTATGGTATATTCATAAAAAGTGAAGGCTCGAACAGTAAGAGGAATATCCGATCTGAAGAATATTTACAATTTGACAATTTAGTCATGAGAAACAGTATCTAGCGTACTTACTTTCCCTTCCTTCCTTTATTATCGTATCATAGCAAAGATCCCAAGACCTCCGATATCGACATCGATATCAACATCTATATTCCCTTTGATAATCATCACAGCAAAAACATTCATCACTACACTACACTATAGTACTAATAGCGATATAGCTTAGATAGAGTACCTATATCACGAGCAAATCCAAGTGAGAATCTCTCTCACCGGCTAAGATCCCAGAACCCGGTATCGGTATTCTCACATGAATCCGGATACCGTGACAAGTACTCGTAACCTTACCGATAGCCGAGATTTGATGGGGTGGATGGTTCGAACTATCGTACCATTCCTCAAGGTCTAATTACCGGTACTCGTAAGATAGATCTACCTGCGGCGGCGCGATAATATGATATCATAATAATGACACGATACTACGGACAGACGGGTAAATAAATAGACAACTAGTAACTAGTAATCACATGTAGTAAATAAACAAAAAAAAACCCCAGCGCCATGTCCCCGGGTCGGCTATGAAACCGGTACAGTAAGTAATTGAGTAGGTGCCGTGACCTTTCAACCCTTTCCATCCTTCCATCTTTCCATCTTTCGATCTTTCCATCTCACACTTTGTGTTATTATCACCCCATCCATCCATCCATCCATCCATCCATCAAACCGGGAATTCCCACTACCAGTACTGTACTCGTACAATACTGCATACATGCATCCATACAACAATGCAGACCGAAAACGGTAATTAGCGAAGCTGGGTACCACCAGCCCTTACGCCGTCACGCTTGTGATAATGATAATGATGACTGCATATATGTAAGTAGTTACACTGGTTGCAAGCAAGTATCTAAGCATATCATATGGGATATCCCGGGGAAGTAGATTCATGACGAAAATGTATTGTATGTGATTTGTATTCTGTCAAGTCATTATGACTCTAGAGGAGTACAAGTAAACTTATTATATTCGAGTGTTATATAGAATAATCCTAGACTCTCCATCCTTATAAATCATTCTCCCTTCTCTCACTTCTCACTCATTCATCTATCTATCTATCCAATCCGATACTCGACTACTTCTAAAATTATATACCGATACTGTACCCTTCACCAATATTACGAGTGCATTTGCGGTGTAGGAGTTTTTGGATGATGAATGATTGATAACTAGGTAACAAGGTAACTAGATAATGAATTGAATATTAATGGATGGAGGGATGAGATGATGAGGTGAAATGAGGTGAGGCGAAGTGAGATTTCATGGCAGGGAGCAAGATGGTGGTGCTGAGTGGGGGGATATGAGATAGTGATGGATGGGATCGGATAATAAGTATAATATATATACAATACCTAGGTATATAGAGTAATATTAGTATATTTGACTATATTGTATTATCATATTGTATTATATTATATCACAATCATTAACTCGAATCTGCTATTCAAGTAGATATCCTCAGCTTTCTTTTTAGATAACGGATAAACACCATCTATCTACCAAAAGGAATACTCAAGCATAAAACAAACATTCCCTCCTATCCATCCCAGTCCCGTCGAAGAAAAGTAATCGGAAGAGGTACTAACTATACTGTATTGGTGCTCTCTTTTCTTTCCTTTACTCTTTTTCTTTCTGCACTGTACTGTATCGTATCGTGCCGTATCGTTACAGTAGAGGGAGGGAGGGAGGAAGGGAAGGTTTGTTCCAAGGTGAGAAAAAAGTATGTATATATGAGAAGTTAAGAAATAAGCAAGTAAGATGGATGTGATATGATATGATTAGTATTCAAGAATTGAGGGTTGGAGCTGGGTGTGGGCGTGGGCGTGGACGTGGGTGTGGGTGTGGTACAGCATGAATGAGGTTGTATATTACAAATTCAGATATAGATATACTCGAGTAGATATAGGTAGATAGATGCATTACATGATATTTTTTGAGGATCATTTCCAATACTTGAGAAGTATTGATGCAGAGTGCAGAGCTGGATGCTGGGCTGGATGTGGAAGATGGAATTACAATATTGATGCTGATTGTACTTGAGTACAGTAGATTCGTGTTACTTTGTTGTTTTGTTTTCCTTGGGATTTGATACGAGTGTGTTATGTGAGATGAGATGAAAATGATGTTTAGGATATGATCTGTGTTACGGTACTGTACCGATATGAAGGGGTCCATCCATCCTCCTCATTCATTACTCCAGGATAATCTCCGAGATAATCCATCCGGTCGATCGGTTTTAACCGTTTAAGTCCTTTCAATCTTTTAGTGAATTATTATCACTTACCCAGTCTACCCAGGACCTCCGACCTGTTATATATTCCAAGCAAGCCGAGGCTAGAATCTCGATGAACTACTAGGTATGGCTTATGGGATAAAGGGCCGACCGAAGAAAGGATATAGAAAATAGAATACACTTTGACCATTCTACTATACTGTAACCTATCTCGTAACAAACTGTATAATACAAAGCTTTTAACTGGTCATCCTCTTTTCGGTAATTTCCCATTTTCCCCATCGGTGGAAAATATCCCCATTATACAACGAGAGTATTACCAAATAATTAGCAATTCTTTAGCCGTTTCAATCTGTTTTTGTCTTTTTTTTTTTGAGGGGAACTTCATCCACTTCCTTCTTTTCCCGGCTCTCTGTTATATCATGTCATGGATGTTAGAGATGGGTTTTCGCTTTTGAAACGTTTTTTTGACTGGTGTACCAGTAGTGGTGTTGGAACTTGGAAGAACTTGAGGACCGAGAGAAGTGCTTACTCGTTACTTGTAGTTTTTTTGTATGAGGTTTTGGTTGGTCTTTCCTTTATTTTTTCGTATTGAATGATTTCCTTTTATTTTATTTTATTTTATTTTCTTTCCTTGATGTATGATGTGGAAGTGGAGAATTCTATTTGTACTCTACTGCCTACCTAGGTATAGGTAGGTATACACGAAATCATCTCTGTATAACCATATATTCAAGAGGACTGGTGGATAAGAGATCATGAGATATCATCTGCAGATTACTTATTGCTGCACTTATGCACCAAAGCTTAGAATACAAGAATGTGGACTTTTGTATAAGAGTGCCAATAATAATATAAAGAGTGCCAGTGCAGTGTCAGTGCTGAGTGTGCAGTATGCAGTGTGCAGTGTGCAGTGTGCACTGATGCAGCATAGATCATGAATGAGGATCTTAATATAAGAGGGGACCTTTTGTATGGAGATGGATTGGCAATCCGAGATGTTTATTCAATGTACTCATACATATATCAAGGAAAACCCTAGAATGTTTGAAATAGTAACGTCGAAATGGCAAGTCTGGATTGGTTGTATTGGTGCTCACTGATTAGTTGATTGTTGACCGCTTATTCTTCTCTCAAAAACTGTAATATAGGTTATTCCTTGATGTCAATATCAATTCCAATCAATGTCAATCCCAAATGTCTATCTACCTACCTAATTAGTCGAATCCAATTATATATCTGTACAGCATTGCACTGCATTGCTTGCTAGCAATCACAACTACAGCCGCAGCTGCTATAAGATTATATTGTAAATATTAGACCAAGAAGAAATAAATTGAAAAGTTCCAAGGATTATTTATAGAACTCATAGACAGATAAATCTCATATAATCTAGTTATAAGTCTCAGAGTTTAGTAGTCTAGTTATTCCTAATCAGGAGTAGTGATTGTTTAATTCAAGTTCCATATAAAAAGAGAATTCTCCCCCCTTCCCCCCCCTGGTAATTGTAATGGTAATACAAAGGCCAAGAAAGAGAATGGATCTCCATCCCTATATCTATAACTTATACAATACAATTCTGTCTACATACAATATTTTCACCTTTTGAATAATATCTATCTAAGTATTCATTCAATACTTAACTTTATTTGTTATATTCAAACTTTGGACTTCATTTGTTATATTGAGAACATCATTCATTCATTATTGATTATTGAAAAGGAATTAATAAAATTTATTAATTTAAACTTTTTTTTTTTGGGTGAATTTCAACATTACTCATCAACAATCATCAAACAATCAATTTACAATTAGATCGATCCAATCCGATCTAATCCATTCTATCACAGTTATATCGTCATCATACCTTTATACTTTTCTTCTACATTACCTACCTTTCTCAACCACCCATCCAAAACCTCCGATCGACCACTTCACATCTTACCTCTTGTATCACCTTCACGAAATTCAATACACATACACAGATACTAATTCAGCAATTCTTTCCGTCGCGACAATGTTCATTCCGAAGCAGCAGTATCGTCATGTACGCTGTTAAAGATTTCTCAAATTCCAAGTCGATCAACTTCAAAAGATACATAATACAACTTAAAATAATTTGAAATACTACGACAAGATGTCTTTACTGGGGAAATTGTTTTCTGGTACATCATCTACTGGACAGACGACTCCACACTCTAACCCTCTTGATTCGAATTTGGAGGATCATTTTTCCTACAATTTACTCTTCCCAGATGCCGACGCCTTGTGTCACAAGGACCAGCTCTTTCCCTTCTCATCTGGAACAGTACTCGCACCTGCGAATGCGAATTCTTTTGATGTCAATGGAGAGATTGATTTGGACATGCGCGATGTTCGAGTAATTATTATGCAGGAAGCTACTTCAACTTCTGGAAATCCATACGTATTATATGATAGTCATACACCTCCACCAACTTCCCCCTCCCTTGAAAGTCAAAACTCGAATACCTCCGCATTCCCCACAAGGTCCGAAAACCGGCGATCAATCTCTACACCACGAAAGACATCCGTAGGACAAAATGCGAGACCGGTGGTTATACAACAGGAAAGTACGACTCCTCGAGCTTTCGGCGGCGCATTTGATCGAAGATCAACACATAAATCACAACCAAATTATACAGAAACTGAAGGACAACGTTCGGCGAGGGAATACAAGGAAGACGTCTCAACCATTTCGAATTGCATATTTGGAAATTCGGAAGTTTTGGCGTACAAAGGAACTGGTACCAAAGTTCACATATTGCCATCGGAGTCGAGATCCTCTGTAGGACCTGGCTCATATGCTGCGGATGCATCTTTCGGTAGATCAGGTATGCGAAGTAGTAAGTTGGTACAATCCTACACTTTGGAAAATGTCGCAGGTCCTGCTCCAGCTGGACTTTCAGCAACCACATCTTCAAGAGCGCAAGATAGGAAGAAGGTCCTCATCACGCGCATGTTTCCAGTACCCCTACCGAATGACGAAGTCGATAACCAAACACCAATTGCAATAGGCGACAAGGAAGGATATCCATTTCCGAAAGTTAGCGACAATGGCACTCCGGAAAAGAAGCCCCAGGTGAAGCAAAAGCGAACTCCTATGTATGCTGTCGGGTTGATCGTTCATCTACCTGCTTCACCACCTCGTGCGCCTTCAGCGCCAACTTCCCGGTCCAGCTTTCGTGGTGCAAGTTCGTTCAATGAACAAGATTCATTTCCGTCATCGTTCAATTCTACAAAACGTGCGGGTTGGACTATGCTTGGTACTGGTTTTGGTATCGAATCTTTGGAATCTTCAATTTATAGTGATGTGGATGACCGGATCGACATGATCACGCAACATTGGGATATCATCACGCGAACCCTTACTCATTTGCAAGCGGTTGCGACGGAATCCTTGCTATGCCTCCTTCGACAAGCGGATATTAATTCTCCTGGACCTCGCCGCGAATCACACACCCGAGCCCCTTCAGCTAGTGTATCAATCTCTGGAAGAAGAGTGGAAGACGCCAAGCCTTTCAAAGTGCCCAAGACCAATGCCAAGTTAGTTCAACTTGGTCAGAATTGTTTGGTACAGATTCAGAAAATTCATAAAGAAGTTGATGCTTCTCGTCAACGGATCTTTAGTGGTATCAAAGGTCTTCAGGTGATTACGGGTCAAGGTCGATGGGGAATTTGGCGGGAAGAAGCAAGATTGGTTGAGAGGTGGGCAGGTGGAAAGGAAAAGGGATTCTTCTTCTTTAACCTACTAAGTGGATTCTTGGGTAATCATACTGAATGGTTGCAAGCTCTGGGACCTCGTTGGTATCGTCGGAGACATTACCAAAACCGGAGATCTCACAAAGATGATGAGATACCCCTTTCAGCACGGACTGTCATTGTTTCCAACGATAAAATGGCAGCAAGACGATTGATATTTCTGCTTTCTGCTTTTCTACCTGCAGGTCAACAAATCGCATCTCGGGCTCATCGACCCAGTACATCAGTGTCTTTGGGTGGATGCTCACAGTCTCCCCCATCTAATATCATACCCGTCTTGAGAGAAGAATCTCTTCGCCGCAAAATCAACAAACGTTCCAGCACATCACGGGCCTCTCACTCACAAGCCATGAGCTCTCCTGCCCAGACCGCGCAATCCGCACAATCTTCTAAACCTCAGCCAGAACCTCCTAGTGGTCTTGGAATTACAGTCCATAATGTCCGGCGTGATCGCTCATCATCCGATTTGTCTCAAATCAAGACAGCAAATTTGCCAATTCCTGGAAGTGGTAGAGGGAGTAGAAAGAGTAGCACGGCAACAACAAGGACTGCCACACCAATCACGACAGTTCCACACTTCTCTACCCGAGCTTCAGTCAGAGGGACTGGTCCTATACCTAGACCAGGAAGTAGTGGTAGTCTCGCAGCTGATGATCTCCTCAGATCTTTAAAGAGAGGTGATAGTTCAGGTCAATACAGTAACATAAGCACCGACTCCCAAGGTCAGAATTCAGGATGGGGTAACATGATTAGTGGTTTTTGGAGTTCAAAAAGAAGACCATCATCTACGACTCACACTTCAGCTGTATCAATGGAGGGAGTTGAAATCAACGATCCCTATTACAGAGATATCACTTCACAGTCTCGTGGTAAATCATCATCAGACAAGAATGAGGATGTCACTGAAGTTTTCTCGACAAAGTCGAAAGGTCAACAAGAACGCGAATTGAGGAAGTCGGAGTCTGGAAGTACTGAAACAGCTAGAGCAATTGAACAAAAGCCAGAACACGAAGTCGACGAAATTATCGAGCAAACGATTCAAATATCGGAGCGCATACCGGATCCATCAGGAGCTTACGAATCACCAGTCAAGACTTCAATCGCTGATGATGGTGCTATTGAAATTGATGTTCCTCTTCCTGATTATCTGGCTTTCGAAACGGCTGTTAGTTCGCCATCAAGCAGTGGTTATCTTTCTACACCAGCGTTAGTAAGCGGACTGGAAGGGTTTGAACATTACTCTCGCGTTGGTCCTGACTCAGATACTACGATAAATGTCGGTGGTTACTTATCACGCTATCATCCGGATTTCGCGCTACAAGCAGTGCCTTCACAATCCGATCTTATCGCCGAGATCAAGGAATCAATGAGAGCAGAGCCAACACCTGTCGTCACATCAACACCCCATGCAGAAGATGGTCGTGCCGATCGATGGGTCGATGTTTCTAGTGCATTGGTAGCCGATACTACTAATTTCACAATTACTCACATTCGTTATAGACGTCTTGTGAAACTAAGGGAGAATGTGGATCCTACGACTCCAGCTATCACCACTCCACTGGAGTCAAAGTATGGCAATGTTTACTCGGCCGCACTTTTTACACCATCCCTTGAGGTGTACGATCATCATGAAGATCAATTTATTGAAGAACAATTGGTTAGCATGGATGAAACATTGATTGAAGCTGTTGAGAAAATCATTGCTCAATCAGGACAAGCTTCGAAACAATCATCTGCATGTTCATCTAGATCTACCAGTAGGAGAGCTGCCGTTGGGCGAGAGAGATCTAATTCAGAAGGAAAGGCTGTACCTGGAGTTGGGGTCAACCTCGAGGTTCCGAGGAATGAGTGCAAGAAGATGGTTCTTGGTGCACTTGAAGAAATCGTCAAGGACGTGGCAGGACGTCGAGAAGAAGTCGATGGAGGACGAAGATTAGGAGGAAGAGAGAGAGAAAGTTTCTTGAGGGAAGGAGTAAGAACTTGGTTGGGAAATGTGGAGAGTGGAATAATTTCACCAACATGACGACGAGCGATCTATGGCATAACTACTTTTCTTTTTCACGTTTGTACCACCAACACAACTAAACTAACGGCCAACAACATATGGTTTTCAACGATACCCAACAATGTACCATCAACAACAATACCAAACTTTATACATGGAGTCCTTTTTTTTTTTAAATTTTAGCGTCGGCGTTTGGAGGAAGAAATCTTGCTACGATTGGACAGGGCGAAAGCTTGACATGGCAACATTTGCTTTTTCGGCTCAGAATTCTTTCATGTGAGCGAATACTCTAGGTAAATATTCCGATTATGCCATTTGCTTTTTTCAGGAGAATGGTTGGGTTGTTAAACATTGGGGTAAGGACTGGGATGGGATGGGACTTTCTTTACACGGATGGGGTGGGTATACATGGATGGATATGGAACGGATTGGGAATAATTGAGGAGTTTAATGATCGAGGGAGAACATGATAAGAAATGAGATGTGCTTTTGCGGGAATCCGAACGCATAGATGATGGACAATCGTGATGAGTTTGTGGTAACGATGATGCGGGGAATAGGAGAGAGAGAGAATATTGTGGAAAGAATAGGATGACTCTTAGGTCATTCTGGATACTTCGATGCTCATCTTTTGGCTTTTTCCCCTCTCGCGGGGTGGAGAAACTTGCTCGGAATCTTGCTTTTGCATATGGCTACTTGTAAGGGCGCGGTGGGCTGTGCACGTGTGCATTTGCATTTGCATTTTTTTTTAATGGAGCGAGTTATCCGTCCGAGATATTACCATAGCGGGCGAGTGGATTAGGGAGGGAGTAGGGGTCCTTTTGTCAGTGCCCTGATTGGAGACGACGGGGTGGGATATTAGTGGGGCGCGTCTGTGGTGCGGAGTGGAGTGGAGATATATGGGTAGCGATGAGATTTTACCTTTTTCATGTCGCCAGAAAGTCCGTAACTCGGTTAATTCTACCATTACGTGGTAGGTGCTGGCTTACTCGAGTTGTGGACTTTCTGGTGGCATGAGTAGGGAATTGGGATGGATTTACTTTCAGTACAGCAGAAATGAATGGAGAATTACCTTACGTACTGGTAGATACGAACTTTGATTTGGTGCTCGTGTGATTTGATTTCTGTCTGAAATGACGCGGTGAACATTGGGGATGATGGGGCGTGGATTAGATTGAGGCGAGCGTAATATAAGGTTACTCGTAGAAGATGAGGCGTAATAATGAGGCTGGTGCATGTAGTGTAGTCTGTACAGACAGTAAAGTGGGGAGCAAATATGTGGACAACCCATTCCACTCTATCCGAAACCAAAGCCCAGGGAGTTACTTGTAGTTCCTTTTCGCTTAAATACCTATCTAACCTTGACCCTTATATAACCTAGCCAATGAAAAAATTCAAATACTAAAAGTGGGCTACAACAAACCCAAATCCACCGAAATATAACCTTATAATTACAAACGTAGACCACAAATACAAACGTAAACACAAGTACAAACACATAGCATTGGTATGTATAGAGTATATTATCTTAATTTAGAGAAGTAATGATATACAAATATAAGATAGGCCGGATGGTGTAGTTGGTTATCACGTGTCCTTAACATGTTATGGTTTATTAACTATACTGTTATATAGAAACGGACAAGGTCCTGGGATCGTGCCCCAGTTTGGTCATTTACTTTTTTTACTCTTTTTTTTTTTTGGTGGTGTTGTGAGTGTGTGTAATTTCTTTTGGGGGGTTGTTTTGGGGGGGTCTTAGGAGAGGGGGAAGAGAAGGAGGGAGAAGAGAGAGGGAAGGGGAAAGAGGGAAGAGGGAGTGAAGGAGGTGTGGACGTAAGTGAGAGTGTAGAGTGCAATATGTGATGGATGGAGTGAGTGGTTAGTTTCTGGTTATGCTGTTTGCTAGCTACATACGCTGTTTTTATTTTTTCTTTCATGGCGTAAAGGCGAGGGTCGAGGGTGGGTGGGAGTGTAAAGTGCTGAGGGGTGGAGTGGATTGTATGGATGCGGATTTTACTTCCTCGACTTTGAGGGGGGGTGTGGGATTTTATTATTAGGTTGGTTGGTTTACTTACTGGTGAGTGGTGAGTGGTGAGTGAGTGGTAGGTGATATTAATACTATCTCTGAGTTGGAAATATTGGGATCATTGGGGGTTGGGATGGGGGATGGGGGATGGGGGATGGGAGACTGGCTGGGGTGGGAGAATGGCCAGATTGAGAAGGGGGTTGGTGGGATATTGGAGAGAGAGGATAGAATGGGATGAGATGAGATGGGATTTGAGGAATTGGAGAGGGATGATTGATTGGATGGATTGGGTGAGTAGGGTCAGGGAGGGGTTATCAAGAGTTGGAATTATCGGATCTAGTAGAGGGTAGGAAAGAGAGGAAGGACATTGAAGCGTGGGGGTGGGGCTCAGTTAGAGTAAAATGAAAACTCGGAGTATGTAGTAGAAGAAGAAGAGAGTCTGGATGGAGTAAAGGAACTTGAATGTTTAAGGATAGCTGAGCTGGCAGCCAGGTATGTTGTTGTTTCTTTTGGGGAGGATGGGGTTTAAGAGGGTTCTACTCGAGTATTTGCTAATTATGGAATCAATTAAAAGATTTCGGTGGGGGGAGGTTGCAATTGTATCAAATATAATGCTGGGAGAGAAATGATCTAAATGAATGAGTAGAACCATTGAACGGGATGCTAGACAGCAAATAGTGTTGGTCGGCAGAAGTTTTACTGATTAGATAATTTAGTCCCGGAACATATCCGATAGTAAATCACGGAAGACATCGGCTAACGAGCTTTCATGATTCAAAAACATCAACAACCCATTCTCAACCTCAATATCATACAATGATTCCCAGACTCGTCCCAATCCTATCCCAAATTCGTATACCTACTTGCAAAAGTCCTTGGCGTGCTGTACAAATGACAAATATGAAGAGACAAGCCGCCTATAACATAGCCTGTGTCACCGGTGTTCTCCCACTTACAAAAAGGGCTTTTCCATTAGCGCTCCACGCCGTCGTCCCACAACTCCCACAATAGCCAGGTACCAAAAGTCGAAACAACCAAAACAATCCTTAATTTGATTCACATCATAGGAATTTCTTCCATTTTTGTTCTAGAAAACGGTGCGCAACGACGACGACGCGTGTTCAACCCGGTACTGAGTAGTTTACCGGGAATAAGTATCTCGGTCCCGAGATCTGGTTGGATATGTAAGGATCAGCACAGTTATACTCATAGATGTGAATTTCCTACTCTGTGCCAAAGAGAGTGATCGTGGGAAATCTGATAAGTACTGTGGAGACGTCATGGAATCTTTGGCGCATACATCAAGTTAAGGTTACGCGTCTACGCAAAATTCCCAGCCTCATCAGTGTTATCACACTTTCACTGCCGGGTCGCAGTTTTATTGACCAAGAGCCTGGCCGGTACATTGAGTACAATCAAGGCATTTCGTGCTCTTTGATCACTGCAAGGCTCTACCGCAAGGTTAAACAAACACAACTGAACTGATGAAGCTGCGCGTCTCGTAGGGCGTGGGCAATAACAATGCGACCAGCAAATTTACATGGTGCATGCCGTTGTGTAATATCTAATTTGGACACTGATGCCACCCCAGTACTTGAGCCAGGATCGGTGACGGCGGTGAGGTGGGACGAACTCTTCCATCTCCCCTTTCAATTTGTTTATAAGAGCTGCCAAGTATCTTTGAAAACATATTATCAACAGCATCAGGTTTCAGTCCTTTCATTCGCTTACCTCCAAAATCAATCTGAACTGATACTGCAAAGACGCTCTTTCTCTTGATTCATTCAACTTATCGGCTTAACTATGCGACAATCGATGCGAACTGGAGCTATTGCAGCTCTTGCTGCTTCTGCAGCAAATGCCGCCTCCCTTACCGATGTTTGCACTGTTGCGAATGTCCAAGCTGCTCTACCAGCAAACGGAACCTTGAACGGCATCAACCCAATCTCATCTTCCGTTACTGCCAATGCAGTTTACAATGCCACAGTTAGCTCTGCCACTTACAGCTACTGCAACGTTACCGTCTCCTATGCCCATCCCGGTAAAGATCAAGTCGTTGTTTGGTACAATTTCCCTAGCCCAGATAGTTACAAGAACCGTTTCTACGTCGCCGGTGGAGGTGGATACGCTCTGAGTGCCGACCCCACTGGAGGCTTAATCTACGGTGCTGTTGGCGGTGTCACTGATGCAGGTTATGATGCTATTAGTGGTATCAATCTCGATAGTGTTGTCTTAACTGGAAATGGATCCATCAACTGGGATAACATCCACATGTTCGGATACCAGGGGCTTGGTGAGATGACTCAACTTGGAAAAGCCATCTCTCCATCGTTCTACGGTAGCAACGCAAGCGCAAAACTACATACCTATTATGAGGGATGCTCTGATGGTGGACGTGAGGGTATGTCCCAAATTCAACGTTATGGTGCCGAGTATGATGGTGTTATTACTGGTGCCCCGGCTTTCCGTTATGGACAACAACAAGTGGTAAGTTATACTTGGACTCGTTGGAAATTTATACACAGCAAATGCTAACTTCCTCCAGAACCACTTATTCTCCAACGTTGCCGAGGTGACGATGGATTACTACCCACCTCCTTGTGAATTGGAAATGATTGTCAATATGACAATTGCTGCTTGTGATCCTCTTGATGGCCGTACCGATGGCGTCATCTCCCGGACTGATCTTTGCAAGCTTAATTTCGACATGAACAGCACTATTGGTACTGCTTACTATTGTGCAGCCTCAACTAGCAGCTCCCTTGGATTTGCTTTCGGTCAAAAAGCCAAGAGACAAATGGGTCAAGCTGCTGCTGACACCCCCGTTCAAAACGGAATTGTCTCTGCTCAAGGAGCTGCTCTCGCTGCTCGTCTTTGGGATGGTATGTTCAACTCCGAGGGAGAGCGTGTCTACGTTCCATGGCAAACAGGCTCTTCTTTTCAAGATGCTACAACCACTTATGATAACACCACCGATTCATGGGGACTCAGCATTGCTTCTACCGGAGGAGAGTTTGTAACCAAGTTTATACAAATGGTTGATATCGATAACCTTGCTTCGCTTGAGACTGTTACTTACGACACCCTCCAAGAATGGATGCAAGAAGCAATGGTAAAATACATGGACACTTTACAAACCACCCTGCCTGATCTCTCTGACTTCCAATCTAACGGAGGAAAACTCATCCACTACCACGGAGAATCCGACGACAGTGTCCCACCCTCTTCTTCAGCCCACTACTTCGAGTCCGTCCGTTCCATCATGTACCCCAACCAAGCCTACAACGAGTCTGTCGCCTCTCTTAAGGCATGGTACAAGCTCTTCTATGTTCCAGGAGCCGCCCATTGCAGCACCAACACTCTTCAACCCGGTCCTTACCCAGCTGATAACATGGCTACCATGATGGATTGGGTTGAGAATGGTATTGAGCCGGAGAGACTCAATGCTACTGTCGCCAGTGGTACTTATGAGGGAGAGGTTCAAAAGCTTTGCGCTTACCCATTGAGACCTATCTGGGATGCCGAGGGTACTTTGTCGTGTGAGTATGATCAAGCTTCCATTGACAGCTGGACTCATACCTTTGATGCTTTCAAGCTCCCTGTCTACTAGATGGGCTGATAATTCTCGGGAGATATGTGAAGGGAATGGATAAGGTGATGAGGCTGGAGTGAGTGGAAGGCTGTTTAGCATTCATTCCATGGGAGTTGAAAATATGATCACGTGTATATATTATAGTCTGGTGGTTTCTTCTTCATTTTGTTTATATTTTTCTCTAGGATATTGTTGGCAGTCTGTATATAATAATGGATTCCTGCCCAAATTTTACATTTCCCCAAACTGAAGAATTGAGACCATATATCAGTTTAACCGAGCCTCAAGTAAAGGAGTAACCAAGTCACTCGTCTCAAAATTAGGGTTTAAAATAATTCACTGCTAGATCCCTGCCTCCTTAGGAAATCCCGATCCACAAAGAGCCGCATAACATTTGGGGTCGACATTTGAAGTCGACAAAAGAAGCTTAGCTGGGCAGAATCGTTACTACCCTTTTAGACAATCGATAATTTCCAATGCATGATGCCAAGCTACGATATTTTTGAAGAAATCAGAACAGGGGCTAAAGAGCTAAACTCCAATGCGTATAAAACATCAGAGGTGTTGAGGATTAGCATCGTAGGGTGGGTGAGTAAGTCAGCCAAAACAATTACCGGTATACTGTTAATTTTCGGGCCGTTAAGCGAAGCAAAATGACTTGTAACATGACCTAGAAGATTAAGTGTTCGATAACTCATGCCGGCTAGAAAGTCCGCAACTCGGGAAGTTAAAAACTAGGATATTCCTGTTGTAGTTTACCACCGTATGGTATGTGCTGGTTTACCCGAGTTGCGGACTTTCTGGCGGCATGAGTACTACTGTACTGCAAGAAGAATTAGCTGGCTTCAGCGTTAAATGGTTGGTGAATACTAGGTTATTTTGTAGATCGATGGGTTGAGGGGTGGTGGGTTCGTTTGATACCATAGATACAGTACATATGGTGGGGTCGGGTTCATGGGCAGGGTTCGCATGAAGCGCTTTCTGCACATTTTTCACGGTGCATATATACCGATAACAAAGAGTGTGGGGCGTGGAGTTGTACGTTTCATTATTTTTTGTGTGTTATGTGTTATGAATCATGATGTTGTATTGTGCGTTGTACAATTGGATTTTGGGAGTATCGGGATGATCTTCTGTTTTGGCGCGGGAACGGGATAAGTTTGCTTGTTTGTGTGGTGGGGGAGCATGAGGGGTGTTGGTGGCGTATCTGGCGGTCTGCAGTGAGGCGGGAAGAATGATGAATGAGAATGAAAATGACAATGAGGATGCGGGAGGAAGGATCAGGGTTAAAGGTTGAAGGGACGTGGTGTTTGCTGCATGTATCTGGGAAATTTGTGGTTGTTGGAGGGGTAGCGGAAACTTAAGGAGGTGTCCAACGTTTGGGGGGTGAGAGGTTTGTTAGTGGCAATTAGGAGGGGGTTACTGTTAGTGCAGATCAATTCTGGAGATTTTCAACGCCGCAAGCGCGGATGGTTTGTGACATGCATGTCTGAAGTGGCATCTCTGATGGAGGTGAACTAGGGTTCAAAGCTTATGTCGGTGAAGGAAAAGTTAATGCATTGCCAGAGATGAAGACCATAGGTTCCTTGCCTAAAGTTATTGTACGTGTAATACTATGTTTGTATATGCATCAAGCTGTCGTACGTTGTAAGTGTGAGTACTTGAACCCTGGAATTGAGAATGGGCAATGGATGGGGTACGAATCTGGATTTAAATTCTCTGGTCTTCTAGGAGAGCTAAGCCCTTTAGGGTATCATAATAACTAGAACGGTCTTGGTTATTTGGAACATCATAACAATCTGAGACATCTAAATTCTGCAGGGTCCTCTGATATTTCTGGGTAAATTATCCAACCCCGGAATTGAGATCGGATTATTTAACTCTCTGATTTGGAAGCGATGTCTATCTAGGCCAAGGGGAAGTTTGAATTGTTGCTTAAGAATGCAGATGAGGACCGAGACTCGATCTCCCGGTCATCATGGCAGATTATGGCATTAGCTAATGCTAATAAATCAAGGTTTTTATAATCTGATGAGAACTCACTACTGTCATGTTTTCCAACCATCCGGTACTCCAGGGAATGTAATCCAGAATTAGACATGACGACTAATTGACTTCATGATTGCCGGCTGTGAGTAAGTAGAAGATAAACTTACTTGCCAAAATGTGTTTAGATCAATTTTAGTATAGGATATTCACCTGCTTCGGGTAAAAAGTTTTGCCGAATGTCTTTTGAAAATACATCGACCATGAATGATAGACGGTGAAAGCGTGAGACGCTTCATGGCTCTAACCTCGTCTTTCTTTTTCGCTTAACCTGTTTCGTTGCACAACACAAGAGATCACAAGAGGAGTAGCGCTAATTTGATCTAGATCAGGAGCTAGATGTCTCTAGTCTAAATATTCACCTTCTTACTATATCAAATAATGGATGTACACCATGAGAGTCTGCTGAAGTGCTATACACTTCACAAGGAAGTGAATATGACGTTATTGACCTGAGACTCGTGAGAGTACATTCTGTTCATGCGTCTGGACTTAAATTATTAATGTGCAGGGAGGGGAGTATTTTCATCGAAAGCTGGCTTTAGACGAGGAACTCAAGGCATGTCGGACAGAGAGAGAGAGGAGGTTCTCAGGGCTTTGAAGCGGCAAATGAGAACATCGAAGTGCAAAGTATATATATATCATCCTCAAATTAAAGTTAGAGTGACCTTTTACTCGGTCGGGTTTGGCAGGGGCGGGTTAGCCCGATTTCTATGAGATACTACCATAATTCTCCGTCTATTATGAGACTTTGTTATCAGATTTCACATTCTTTTACACATCATATATTTCTTCAAAAAGTAACCAAATATGGAAATATCCTTTGGGGAGAAGTAACGATAGCAAGTATGAATGCTCAACTTTCTTCCTCGAAATAGCTGAATATGATCTCGGCCCAAGCTTCCAATTCAACCGAGTAGCTTTGTAGTGAAAGAATGCTCACCGTACTTCTGACTATACTTGTATAGTCAATGTGGCAATGTATGGAAGTTGTCCAGTCTGTATTCAGTTCTTCTGCCTCCCAATCTTTGTGGCTTCTAAATTACAGTCTTCGGTTGATCAAAGATTGCATCAAAATTGTAACAGTAACCTACTCATAACGGTTTATATCACTTTTTGCTGCATGTATATCTTCCCTGACTTACAACATTATTATATTCCCGCCACTACTATTATTTACTGGTGTTTGTTGTCATCGTCTCATCTCTAGAAACTCATTGTCAGCGAAGAATGTTCAAATCCGCACAATCACCGAGAGAAATATTATCATTGTTAACTTGAATCAAACCCATCATGAGTTCTTTAGAATTTTTGCTATTTTCCTCCAGCCGTGTCTTTGGTTCAGCTTTTTTAATTTGATCACTTTCACACATTAGTCTCCAAGATAGTGATGGTCATTTATAGTGTTGATAGTGGCAGCTCGAAGTTCTGAAATGCTAGATCGAGCTCAGTCTCATGTGGATACACTATATACTCTTGTTAATTATCTGCATATTGCCTGCTTTGATTCAAAAACGAAGTGGAAGGATACCAATCTTAAACAAAGACTCCGTTAGATAATTCTAGTATGCCAAAGTTCTCATCATTCCTCATGATCGTTCACATGTTCACGTTCTATATGAATTACTATAAATACCTGATAAAACTTGAGCCATTGCAGTCTAATCAAAGGTTTCTACCTCAGAGCCATCACCTTCTAAGACTTGTCTCAAAGAGTGTGCGGGTTATTGCTATAGCCTTTATCTGGCGAATCGAGTCTTTCGTCTCGTAGCTTACTAACATAACATTTGTTATCATTCCATCAATGTATTCATTTTCATTGCTTTTTAAATCTTTCTCGTCACTGAATAATATCATTTCCACATCCTTTCCGCAGCTCTTCAGGATGGTAGGCGGATGTAGAATGAGATTTATGACTGTAGTAAGGACTGCGACATGTCTGACAGGACCCTTTGTAGATTGTAGAGAGTATGGTACGTATTTGACGACTCAGAAGCACCAAGAATTACTTATATATATAGAGGAACGATCAATACTTTTTCTGCAGGCATCACCTCCTGTACCGAGCCAAATAGGAGGTCTCGCACTCTCTATCTCGAGCTTAAGTGAATCGATCTCAAAGTCATTTGTATATATACCTATGAAAACTTCATTTTAATTCTTCAAAGAAAACATTCGCATCGTCTCGCATGGGATACATGTTCGGGGTCGACGTTGTGGTAGATCCCGGACGATGCTGAGAGTTAAAAGTACTATTTACGACGTGGAAATTCAGATACACACAGCAACCTCACATCACAACAAAAATCAGGAAACTTTTTCTTCGAAATACACCTCTTTAAAGGTCGATCTAGACCAAAAAGATTAAAATAAATCTATTGCAATTGCCCCCAAGCGATTCTGACCAGTAGTTGTTGTGATACTGTCGTCGGCGCCCCAAAACACACATATATACCAAGGTCTATTACAACTTAGTAGTGGATCTATAATTCTTTATATACAACTTCCTTTAACTCTAACAGATAATCTATATATTCGAAATGAGTGAATCCATTATAGAAGTGTCGTCTGATATCACTATAATCCCGAACACATATCCAACGATCACTCTGGGTACATCCACTCAAACCAATCAATCGCCCTCGCCGTTTCAAACTCAGATGGATATATCCAGCCCTATCTCAGAAACTACTCAACCCTTCAAAACAGCTTTCAGAGCAAGCGACTTCAATCCTTTCAATAATCCATTTGTAACACAATTATCAAATGCAGAATTTTCTGCCAACTCTCACCACCCATTCCTCCTAAACAGGAAATGTGGTCCCTTTAATACTT